CGTCGTCGTCGTGTGTGTGTCGTCGTCGTCGTCGTCGTCGTCGTCGTCGTCGTCGTCGTCGTCGTCGTCGTCGTCGTCGTGTGTGTGTCGTCGTCGTCGTCGTCGTGTCGTCGTCGTCGTCGTCGTGTGTGTGTGTGTGTGTGTGTGTGTGTGTGTGTGTGTGTGTGTGTGTGTGTGTGTGTGTGTTTGTAAAAGAGACCTTCATAAGAGTTTGATGGTAATGAGAATTCATCTTGTGGATGTTAACGCTGCCTACCAGCTGAAAGAATTAGCATCAGATTCAGCATCAGCCACACAGAGGGCACTGATCTGAATGAAAGCTCTCTGAATTATTGATTTCCTCCTACTGGGATCACATCCTCTCTCCATTGTATCCCTCCTTCATGATATCACCTCTTTTTCTTCCTACATGCCTTATAAGCTTCTGCAGAAAAAAACTAACTAAACCCAGATATTACAAACCAGTGCCTGAGTAAAACTGCAGCCAAAAACCAATGACGGCATCATTTTGTGTGTGTTCATTTGTGTGTGTGTGAGTGCAAATGTCTGAAGCAAAACTCTTTTAGTGTTATTAATATTAATTATGTGTGCTGTCAAGGATTGAAAGCAACATTTCATTGCTCACATTCCTTGTATTAAGTGCCTCATGATTTATTAATGGGTATGTTTAAGGTTAGAGAAAAGAAAAGGGAGGAAAGTAAGAGAAGGGCAAACTATAAATTGATTTCTCCCCTAAAGACAAAAGTCTATTAAAGTCATTTGTGACCTCATTGAAATGTGGATTATTTGGCCTTTTTAGGCTTCAGTCATTAGATGGTGAAACTGTTGGGTATAGCTCTAACTGTCATGTTGATCCTGAATAATGTCCCTTAATTTATCTGGTTAAATTGATACCACACTTCTCGTTTTATCCTGCAACAAAGGCTCCACCATACATGCTACACACTTTACTGTTAAATATATATATATATTCCCACTTAAGATGACCTTAGTCTCTCCCGCTGTCCCTCTCATCTCTCTCATCTGTATGCATCACATGTCTCTGCTTATCTGTTTACTGCCTCTGTAAAGCTGGAGGAGTCCATTCTCCCTCCCTTTAAAATGTCCTCTCTCAGTACACTGCGTAACCTACCGTCTTTCTGTCTTTCACACACCATCTGTCTGTCTCTGTTTCTCCTAAATATCTCTCACACCAGTTGGTCTCCTGCCTCAACCCCTCACCCCCTCCCAAAATCCCCACACCCTCCTCCTTATACAGTAGGACTTGGCATGTCGCTGCATATCTATATTATTGCACCTTGAAGAATGTTGTCTGTATGTGTGTGTATGTGTACGCGTGCTATGTTCTATTTAATCGAGGCTCCCTGTTGGCACATCGGACAAATTGATCAGTTGGTTTGCCAGCTGTCCTGGCAGTCTCCTTCTGTCTCTCTATTTCTCAAACCATCCCCCCTTTCTCACTTCCTGTTTAACTTGTGTACCTTGGCAATCAAAAGTGAAAGAAGAAAAAGTATTGTAATGATTGGAGTGGTCTCCCTTTTTTTGTTCTGCCGGCAGATACATTTTGGAGATTCTTCCATTCTTCCATCGGCAGGTGTCTGCTGGCCCATTTTGACTGACGTGACCTTCCCTGGCATCGGCTGCTGGCGTGCTTTCCCATGATCCCATGCTGTGGAGAATGATGGGCAGCGTGCAAAGCCAGCTCCTTTTGTTATCTGAGCCGCACATATTGTCTTGATACACCCCTATCATTAGACACACATTTCCAAGGTGGGCTGGCTAAATGTGTGTCCACGCTGAATTGAAGAGATAAGTCACATCTGCAGCCAGACACCACTATGGCTAGCTTGCTTTTAAGCATGATAGGTAGAGAATGCAAAACCCATTTCTGTTCTCATAGATCTATGCATAATGTGGCCTTGATTCGGCTGCTATTCACGCTTGATGTCCTTGGCGTGGTGAGGGATGGATAGTGGCAGCACGGTCAGGAACAAAGAGAGTCTACTCCAGTGCTGTGTGTGTGTGTGTGTGTGTGTGTGTGTGTGTGTGTGTGTGTGTGTGTGTGTGTGTGTGTGTGTGTGTGTGTGTGTGTGTGTGTGTGTGTGTGTGTGTGTGTGTGTGTGTGTGTGTGTGTGTAGTAAGTAGTAGTAGTAGTAGTGTAGTAGTAGTGTGTGTGTAGTGTGTGTGTGTGTGTGTAGTAGTGTGTGTGTGTGTGTGTGTGTGTGTGTGTGTGTGTGTGTGTAGTACGTAGTGTAGTGTGTGTCGTCGTCGTGTAGTAGTGTGTGTGTAGTCGTGTAGTGTAGTGTGTAGTGTAGTAGTGTAGTAGTGTAGTAGTAGTAGTAGTAGTAGTAGTACGTAGTAGTAGTAGTAGTAGTAGTAGTAGTAGTAGTAGTAGTAGTACGTACGTCGTAGTAGTAGTAGTAGTAGTAGTACGTAGTAGTGTACGTACGTACGTAGTAGTACGTAGTACGTAGTACGTAGTAGTACGTACGTACGTACGTAACGTAGTAGTAGTACGTACGTAGTAACGTAACGTAGTAGTAGTAGTAGTAGTAGTAGTAGTAGTCGTACGTAGTAGTAGTAGAGTGTGTGTGTGTGTGTGTGTGTGTGTGTGTGTGTGTGTGTGTGTGTGTGTGTGTGTGTGTGTGTGTGTGTGTGTGTGTGTGTCCATGCTTGGGTGTGCTGTGAGCTGAGAGCAAGAGGCTTTTCTCTTTGTAATGACAGACATTAGAAAGTCGATTACAAGGTTTTTACAGCCTGCAACTCACAGGGAAACACACATGTACACAGGCGCAGTAAAACACACTCACTTACTCTAGTCTGAGCCAGGAGAGGCTGACGAGGCCTGCTAATCGATGTGTGATGGCAGGACTTTCATGCGCGTTTGGAGTAAAATTGGCTGAGTTAAATAGGTGGTATAACAGACACTCCTTTCAGCTTTCGAGCTTGTGTCTTGATGAACGTTCATAGGCCAAAATAATTTAGGGACAGCAGCTTTGTGTTGTCTTTGCACCAGCTGTGTGTACCTCAACTTGGCTGTCTCGCAGACAGGACCATCGTCTTCTTTCTGCATAATTGTTTTCTAGTGTGACACAGTGCCAGTGGAGGGAGAGGAGCTCTAGCATCTTTACCCACACAACTCTCAAGACCTCTACATCTGTGCTCATACCTTAAATTCTATCACTATTTCAAATGTTGCTGTTGCTCTCTTGAAGGGCTGGTTGCAGAAGTAGCTCACATTGCTAACATCAGCTAATAACTTATGCGTCTTAGTTGGCTAAGTTGCCGACATTAGCCAGTCAGTAGGGACAACTAATTGGTATTGATTGTTTTAATTGTTTGCCTCGACTTCATTAAACAATCTCATCCTTATTTTTGGTAAGCTTCCAAAGCGAGAGGGCTCTCTAGAGTGTCCTCACACAGGGAAAAAAATTGATTGTGTGTTTTAGGAGTCTTCAGCACTGCCTCATCTATCATGTTCTTGTAACACAACACTTCATTGGGCCTTGTCACCTAATAAACCAGCAAAATGTCACTTTGTGGACAACAAAATTCATTGTAAACTTGCTTAACATGATGTGTTAACTGTACACTGTCCAATGGAGTACTATTGTTGAGTGGATACAGGCTCTATATGAGCTGTGAGTGCCTTTTTAATATCAGTTGGGTTCATGTTTGGAAAAGGGAGCTGTTTGGAGCATAATAGAGTGTTGAATTCAGGAAATAGAAAGAGATGGGCAATGTGCGGAGAAAGGTAGAATGCAAAGCAGGGATGAAAAATAAACTGATCGGGGGTAAACAGATATTTAGGGAGGAATATCAAAACGGAAAAATGAAGGAAAGAAAGTGGAAGATTGAGCATACCAGAGCTTATAATGTAGATCTGCTGTTTAGCATACAGTCAATACAAGAAAGAAGAACAAAGTATTGAGCGGTAGCTGGCGGCCTGATTTCACACCCATTACAAAGGCACGGCTAGTGGAAAATGAAACTGCATAGAATCATAGTGTAAAATAACCTGCCCGTTGTCACACATGCATTGATAAGCTACTGTGATATGGTTTGTATTCTGGTGTGATGCTCATGTAAGTTCATGAGTGCTTATCACTATCGCCCGCATTCCCACCTTTTTCATCTTGCAATGACTGAACAGGGAGACATTTTTTAAAGCTAGCAAATAAAGTTGGAAATGCGGAAAACAAAATGAAGTTAAGGGGGTTTTGCAGTTGCGTGCCTGCTCATTGGTTTGGCTTGTTTTTCTTTGCTGGTTCAATCTAGTAGCAGGCTTTGATGCGATGTTCCAGGGCCACTGATCACACGTAATGTTAGAATTGTGTTTGTCAGACGGATTTAGCCCATCTCTCTACTTTACCCCTCTAATCATATATTGTATTTCTTCTCTACTTGCCTCTAAACTCAGTTGCTTTACATTTTTTCTCTCTATTCATTCCTATTTCTTTCTCTCACAAATTGAAAGCGAGATAAAACAACTTTTTCTTTTGCCATCAAAACACTGCAATGCTTCTTGAAATGCTGGAGTTCCGTCGTAAAGAAGTGAAAGTTATATAACAAGTATTTGTTATTAGTCCCTCTGGAGAATATCTCGGTTTCAAATTCCTTCTACGCAACACAGTGGGAATTGCGTTCATGCTGTTAAAATATGACTCTCAATGTGATATCAATTTCTCTGACATATCTAATGAATGATATATCTGTGTGTTTTTTTCCAGCGTGTCCCCATGGATCCTACAAGATGTCCTCCAGGCAGCAGGAGTGTTTCCCCTGCCCGGCCAACAGCAAGGCAGAGGAGGAAGGATCGGTGGAGTGTGTGTGTGAGGAGGACCACTTCCGAACCCCGCTGGACACACCCTCAGCCGCCTGCACAAGTAATACGATTATTTTTGTTTGTGTGTATCAGTGGCGAACCGTGTCTATCACAACTGAACCTTCTGTAGACACATTTACATTTTATAACATTTTATTCATATAATTAAATAGATTTTTTTGTTTGATTTATCTGAGTGTTTCAAGGTATTCTCTGAATACCTTGAAGGCCCTGCCGGTTCGCCACTGGTGTGTATGTAGACCTTACTTCCACACCATATCAATCACACACTGTATCCTTTCCTTTTTGCATTAAGTGAGCAATTTCATGTTTGTGAGCCAATCATTATCACTCATGCCCTTGCTGTTTGCCTCTTTATACATTTAAAGAGCGCTTTTACCCGTCCTTCACCCCAAATCCTTTTATCCATCTCCCTTTTTTTTCATCTCAACACCTATTCTCCGTCTGACCTGCGCCCCTTTCCCCAGTCTCTGTCTCGCCATATATCCTCATCCTCCCATCCCCAGCTCCTCCTCATCAGCCCATTTCCATGTATCATCTCCCCCAACCTTCACCTCTCCTTCACCTCCTCTAGAATTGAATTCCTTTCATGTAGAAAAATCCATCCAAAAACATGTCAGATGTTTCTTTTAATCATCCCAGGAGGCTGTCTAACAGCTAGAGACGAGTCTTGTGCTGCTTTTGTGATTATAACGTTGTGAGTTTTTCAAAGAGGTTTTTTTTTAAGATCAAAGAACATGTATCTTTGAATAACCATCATTTTTTCCCTTCATATTTAAAGTGTTAGTTAAACACTACATTTGCTGTTTTGTTTGAGAAAAAGATAAAAAGAAGGGATATTATTTATTAGACTTGGTAAATGTTAAGGATGTCAGTTAAATCCAATCCTTGTTGTTCTAAAAGTGAGAGAAAGGATCCTTTTATGATCTTTTGTCTAAAGATGGGCTTTTCCCCCTCCCTACCTGCGCCTAATGATATACACACATTATGTCTCCATCCACTTCATACAGTTTTCCTGCCTTTTAACCTTTATCCCTTTTTACCCCCCACCCATCTTTCATCCCTTATACATCTCCCCTAACATACTGTATGTATTCCTCCAGAGAGCCCATCAACCCACTTTCCCCATCTTTTAACTTGACCTTGGACATTCTCTCCACCTTTTATCCCGACATTACAGATCCATTTCCTGCTAAACATCCATTATCTACCTCTATACCGGGCCACACCATTTTTTTCCTACCCCCCTCCACTTTTCCCTTTTTGACCCCTGATCAACATTCCACTCCTTTCTTTATGTCTTTCTCCTTATCTTGGCCACTCATCATTCCTCTTTCTACTAACTGTCTCTTCACATTTCCTTTCCTTTTCATCGGCTTTGTCCATGCGCGTTATCACCCCTCATTTCTTTCTTCTGTCAAACTGAAATCTCATCCCTTTATCCTCGAGGGACAAATCCCATGATCTGATCCCCACTGTCTACGCATTATCCATTCATCCCTCACATATTACCTTTTTCTCACCTCTTCTCACATACCGATACCCTTCTCCTCCAATGAAGATGCACTACAGGGCCAATAAGACACAGACCATACAGGGGAGCTCTATTGATTTCTACACAGCGTATTGATATGGCTTAGTAATTAGATGGAGGAATAATGGGCTCTATGGACCGTGAGTGCTGAGGACAGTAAAACCTGTGGGGTCACAAGGTCTATGCGTGCATGCTTGTGTACGTGTGTACATGCGTGTGTGTGGTCATACTAGCTTATATGGTAACGGCGATGGAGGGGTGTGATTACAATATTGATCGCTGAGCTCTCTGATCCCGGTGCGATAACATTTATAGCAGCCTAATGACCACCTTAATTACACTATTGATTCCGTAATTATGATCTTCCCCAGATTTGGCTAATCCACCGCATGGTACCCAGGAGAAGGAGAGAGATAGAGACAGCCGGATGAATCTAGAACTGTAGGAATAAAAGAAAAAAGTAGATTTAGCTAGATTAATGAAGTTTGATATGTATACCTTATCTTAGCAATTAGATAAGTAGTTCATTTACCCTATCCCTTTGCCATTCATGCCTAAAATAGTCTACTTTGTTTAAAACAGTAAGAAGTCTCTGCTGTCTTTTTTAAATGATTAGCTCTATATTCCTTTACTTGTATCCTATAATATATTCAAAAATATTGCATTACAGAACATTTAAATATGTGGTAGTGGCATTGAAGAGTTATTCTATGGAAACAGTGGAAAGAAATGCCCCACTTGGGATACAGAAATATTTATTTGTATTTATGTTTGCCAGAGTGGAACTGCCGCTGACAGGAATGTAATGGTAATGATTGTAGCATAATAACTATAACAAAAAAAATGTGTTCAAGTAATGCATTTTCTTTGTGAATGTGCAAGTCTGAAAATGGATTTTTGAAAACCAATGACTTCCAGGAAAAAGAATTATTTTGCATATTTTATTTTAATCGTTTATTTAGCAGGCACAATGCACAGTAATGAACAGTTAAAACATTCAAATCTGTTAAGCGTAACAGTGCCAGATTTAGCTTTGAGCTCATTTCCATCCGCAATCCCTCACATAAAACATTTAAGAAGATTACATTTTACAAACATATGATAATGCCTCACGTAAAGAAATGCATGAATGCAGAATTAAGTGAGCCTTCGAGCAGAAGTGTAAAACAACAAGTATGTTATCTGCTTCAGAACATCCTAAACATATTTATAATTAAAAACATTATTATAAATTGGACACAATCACTTTAACTTAAGCCATTGTTTTGTGTGTTTTGAAGTGCAGATGTTGCCATTCTTTGTTTTTGGTGTACGCCATATTGTTCGGTGCGACCAGATGTGACATAAAGATAATAGAGGAGGTAAAACCAAATGCTGAATAAGACATTTTTGGGCAACCATTTTGCAAAGCTATCAACAAGTGAAAACACAATGTGAAAGGGTACTCAGAGCGGACAACGTTGTGGTAGCAGCCTGTCAATCTCAAAGTAACCAAGCCCAAAAACAGACACTGCTTCATTGTCTTTTTTACCTTTTTATTTATAACTTATGAAAAACAAATATATATATATATATATATATCATGCTGTGTTGAAGAAGTCTTTAAACTACATCTTGAGAGACTGATAAATTACAATCATGTTTACAATGTGAACTGAAGTAATAAAATAAAGAGAGAAGTGAGGTAATTTTCTCATAGACTTCTACCGATCTGGTCTTGTTTTTTCGACCCGAGGAGTCGCCTCCTGCTGGATATCAGAGAGAATGCAAGTTTAAGGGATTTTCGCATTGCGTCACTTTTCGTACCTGAGATTGCCGCCCTGAACTACAGCCCCAGACTGTACGCCAATTTGACAAAGCGGCCAATAGTAACGACTTTAGTGACCGTAACATGATGCCATTTGGCCATAGATTAAGATATGGAAATGTTTTTGGATGTAAATGATACCCTTGAAAAGCCCTCTAGAAGTAGTGCTACTGAAACTAGAAGTTGAATTACATCCTAAAACTATTTTGTAACTTTATAATTATAATAGTATTTGTTCTTTAAATGCCCTTCCTTAGTTGATACCTTATTTTTAGTGTCACTCATGGACAATGGAGTCCAATAGTGGATTCATATCATGAGTCACGGAAATCTTCAACCTTTCTTCAGGGAAATGTATACATCTGGGCTCTTTATAGACTTTATTGGAAATATTGTGAATACAGCATCAAGATTTCATTTTCTTAGATTTGATTCATTATGTTGGAGCAGCATTCGACAGGGAGTCAATGAGTCATAAGTAGACAGGGGAGGGGGGTACAGAGACAGATGGAGAGTTGAGAGAAACCAAGAGAGGGGAGTAGGTAAGGTTTTAAATTACTCATTTTGAGGATGATGAGAGAAAAAAGGGAAACTTCAAGAGAAAAAAAGGCCGAGAAAAAACGAAACTACATGGAGATGTGAATGAAAGGCCCAGCTGTGTCTATGTCAAATGTGTGTGTGTTCGCACGCTGACTGCTCTCCGGGCTTATGCAACTCTGTGCTCAATGTGTGTGTGAGCTGTGGTGTGTGACGCCACGCCCGGAGCTGCACACCGTCACTTATTCATTACACAGAACATGCACACGCATACAGGAACACATAAACAATTCATGGCCTTTAATGGACCTTAGCGCTATTCAGCATGCATGTGTCAGGACCTGGAGGAAAAGGCACAGGACAGCCAGGGCACTGACTTAGTGAAGAGATTAAGTAGTTTAGCCTTACTTTTTCAGCCCTTTTTAATACTGGCTGTATATTAAAATTGTAGATGTGGTTGTTGAATTTAAAGCTAAATCTGGATTAATTGGCCTTGATAACTCCGGTATAATCCAGTAACACGTTTTTATTGTCCTGTTTTATCTTCCGTGATGCATGTGGCATATCACAACCCTCCCATCAAATCACATACATGTTCCAGGAGAGTTAAATACCTTCGTCATGGTACCTCACCTTTATTTACTTCTGGTGAGTGAAGGATGTGTTCCACGCAGTACTGTCAATGTCACTAGATTATGGGAAAATGTGGTATCCATGCAGATGTTTACACAAAGGGTAAAGTCATTGTAGGTCATCCAAACCCATGAATTGCTTACTGCTTAAGTGCTTTTCTCTTTCTGCATCATCAATAATCCCTCTTTTATCCAAATCCAAGATTTAAGTAATCATCGTAGCAACAACTGCACGTGTTGATTTGCCTTTACCCACGAGGGTCAAATGATTTTCATCAAACCAATTGTTTCTTATCATCATATCCTGGATGAAAAGGTATTGTCACATGATGAGCAAACTGAGCCAATGATCATAATACCCAATGCACTCAGTCCAACAGTCATGTGAAAATGTTCATGCTTCAGCAAAAATGATGTTTGAGCATTCTCTTTTCATGCAGGTAACTATGTTTCATGTTATTGCTTTCATTTACCATATTATCAAGCCCATTTCCATAAATGCCCATCCCCACATTTACATTTTCTGAAAT